AATACAAGTCGAGATATTTGCAAATGAAGGAGGTGGGGGTCACCTGTTTTCAGAGGTAAAGTTAGTGAGAAATGGCCTCCAAAGTTTAGTTATTTCCTGAGCTTAAGAGTCCGTGGTAACTGAACATTTACATTTTTTGAGCCTTTATTAGACATTTTTCAGAAAAATCCACACAGAAATGAATTCTTTAATGGACATGAAAGGTGTTGAGCCAAAAAGCAAAATTTTATAAAAGTAAAAAAACCTGCCAAAAAATGAAAGTTTCTTCACTTTGATTATTTTGACGAGAGCCTGATTCCACCATGCTGCCTCACAATTGTATTTGTGTAGTATGACGTCATGCTGCACTCATGTGGGCCCCATGGAAAGTGAAGACTCCACTATGTGTAGGGTAGGACAGGTAAGATCCGAATGAAGACTCCACTATGTGTAGGGTAGGACAGGTAAGATCCGAATGAAGACTCCACTATGTGTAGGGTAGGACAGGTAAGATCCGAATGAAGACTCCACTATGTGTAGGGTAGGACAGGTAAGATCCGAATGAAGACCCCACTATGTGTAGACGTACGCTGGCAAAGCTAGAACATACAGAAACCATCACTTCACATAGTGGAATTTACACCAACCATTTCATACTGTGGAGTTTACACCAACCATTTCATACTGTGGAGTTTACACTAACCATTTCATACTGTGGATGTGCACCAATCTTTTCATACTGTGGATGTGCACCAACCATTTCGTAAGGTGACATTTGCACCGACCATTTCATGCTGTGGGATTTGCACTGACTAAATGTAATGGATTTATTGATTATTTCCAACAAACCAGTTGTGGGTCGTGCTTTGGCATAATTTGTGTAAAGAAAGTTACAACCCCAAACGCACGAGAGCAAAATTCTGACATGTTGTCTGATAAACAAACGTTTGCGTGTACGACGTCTCTGGTGGAACTAACAAAAACAGACTAGGGAAAACGAGAATTCTCATTCAACCAAAATACTAAATTAAAATTATTTGGAAAATTACGCTCGCCTCCGAAGACGTTGCCAGACCGAGCGTCAGTAAATGTGAGGCGGCGTGGTGGAATCAGGCTCTCGTCAAAATAGTCAAAATGAAGAAACTTGCATTTTTCCGTAGGTTTGTGAATTTTTATCAA